TTTTGTCTTTAGGGAGCTAAGCTAAATTATGAGCGAGGAGTTGTTGCGGATGAGAACATAACCACTGAACGTGGTTGTTCGCCGAGATGATTTTTATGCCATGGCCATACCTTCTGGAAAAATTCTTATACCTCTCGATCAGCTTGACGTTATTGTTTCGCAGCAATAAATAGCAAAGAAGACGCAAAAAATGGAGTAAGCAATACATTTCGAAGTAGTGTGCTTGATGACTCATGAAGGTCTGTAAATCAAACAGCATATTCATTGACTAGATTCTAGATCATACGCTACGTTGTTACATAAAAACAGTCCCCATACGTGAGACAAAGGAAGAAACAAAGCCAGAAAGACAAAGCTGACAAAACATAAACAGTGAAAATATTGCGAGTTGCTAAGGAAATCATCAGTTCCGAAGAGGTACAAGGGAATGTCCATTGATGAGCATTTCGCGCCGAAAGAAAATGATACCTAACTCGGGTGTTTGAAGAGATCAGGCGTTCGATTGCAGTGCGCTATCATTGCTTTAGTTTCCTACGTAGCGCAAGAAAACTTCCTTTACCAGAAGCAGGGTGCGTTCATTGTTTTCTGGTTTGATTCTTTGCCAAAAGGTGGGAACGAATAAGTTCGCGTGTTCAAATCTTAGTCACGTAACTTCGCTGAACGACATTACGTTTCTTGTTGTGCAGCACGTTTCCCAGGCGTTTTCTTAACACGCACGATTTCACAAATTGAATAAAGCTTAATAGGCTTCAAAACCCCATAAGCAAGTCTTTTGATCATTAGATTGATCCCTCTCAAACCACAATGGTTTCAATTGGCAACGCTTAAACTGCCAAGCGCACGAGCCACTGAACGAAATTAACTTTTGGATTCTTGTGACTTCCTGATATTTGTTTTATGACCAACACCTCACACTAGCTTGAAATATCAACATAAACAGAATGCATTGAATAGCATATCTTAGATTGACTAGAAGTAAACTTTTCAGTTTATTATGCGCCTATTTTCAATTCATAGCTCCCCGGATCTAGACTCTATATTCATGTCTTCAAATCACGCTAAAAATGACTACAAGTAGTCCTTTGCCTACGATGTTTTGGCAGCCCAACTTCTAAAAAATAAATTCTCCTGCTTTCACAATAGCCTTAAATGATTGTTATCTCAGTAATTTGCTGAATTTATGCCTTCAAAAGGTTGCTCCTCCTCTAGGCCAGTATTCGTCCGCCCATAATTCGCTCCATTTTCCAAATAACTGCACAGCGCCTGCTTCGCTAAAAATCTCCTCTTATCATCGAGAGACGTGCCGTAAAACTTAATCTCCGGCAAATTTTAGAAATCTCTAGATTCCTTTAGAGAATTCGAGGTAATACTGTTAAGTTTGGCGATATCAATCCGCGTATTATTTGATAGCCCGGCGTGTGAAAGGAAAAAAAAGCTACGAAAGCAGCCAATGGTATTACGCATTTCCTATTCATTATTGCGTGACTAATATAAAAACCCCGGGAGACGAGCTGAAAGACAAGGTACATTGCATAACAACAATAGTTATAATGAAAATGCAAGTGCATTTCCATAAAACAGAGTAGTTTCGCAACTAAAAAATAGTATGAACAGTCGGCAAAAGATTTTGTTGTAGCGTCAGGAGATTGCATGCGTCTAACCTTCCGGTCAAGAAAGAAAACATTACGCAGAAACATTCATCACCCTGTCAGATTGAATTTTTCCTCGAGATTGACACGTGAGTATCGAAGTGGATTACTTCAATACTTTGACCTTTTTTTTCAGAGAGCAAAATTGACGTTTTCATTATCCCGACAAATGTTCGCCGCGTCAAAGATTGAATGTCCTTTGTCCAGTGTTTAGATCTCCTTAATCTGTCTACAAGCGGCACTATCTGACAACAAGAAGTCGCGCCTTACATCGTTTCTTAGACTCCTGGTATAACGCCATCATGATCGTACTCGGCATTTGTGCGGTCGTAATCGTGGTTTTTGCGATAACTGCAGCGATGAGCGACAAGGTCCGTGAAGCCGTAATATCATCGAAAATCTACAAGAAAGGTTTTGCAGTCCATATGAACTTATTCAGTCGTATTCACAACAACGCCGTCAGGAAACACAAAGAGGACATTTTCGAGAAATTGAAGTCATCCGTGGAAAGTGTTGGCGGTGGCGATATTTTGGAGATCGGAGCAGGGACCGGGGCAAATTTTGAGTTTTTCCCCGAGGGAAGCTCTATCATAGCACTTGAACCAAATCCACACATGGTACCATACTTAAGGGAAAACGCTGACAAGTTCCCGCATGTGCAGCTCAAGAACATCGTACCAGGTTTTGCCGAAAACATGGATGGGATTCCAGATGCATCTGTCGCCGCTGTTGTATGCACCATGACACTGTGTTCAGTGAGTGATGTGAAGGCAACATTGGCTGAAATCAAGAGAGTTCTGAAGCCTGTAAGTACGCAAAATTTGTTTTAAAATTACGTCTGTATGTAGAACTTCTACCATTCGATGTGGATTCTTTTTTTTCTTTGCCGCAGTTCACATGAAAAAACTTCGATAAATTGTGCAAAATGAGGATTTTAATTTTCTCCAAACATTTCTAGCGGCTGTCACTCTTTCCTTCCGCACGATTGTACTTCCCTTTCATCTGCCACGGATATCAGATCTTAATCCTCAAAGCCTTATCTTTAATTGTCCAGGAACTAGCTTGCTATTTTGTGTAAAGGAATGTTTAAGAAACTGAAACGTTGTTATTATGAATATGTAGGAATGTGCGTGTTTTTAAACATCGAAAGACAGGCAATATAAAAAAAATTGTTAATTCCAATAATTCTGATCTAATTTTAATTCTTTGATAGCCTCCTAATTGCACACTTCCGCTTAAGTGGTTCAAGAAAAATTACCAAACTCAACATCTCGCAGAAAACGGATGACTTAGACGAAGTTCAACTGTCATTTCTAAGATCACTGATTTCAACGATTGCTAAAAGTCGTTTTTATATTAGACTACCTATCAAATTTAAATTGGATCGGAAGTATTTGATATAGCAAGCTTAAGTGTGTTCTATTTTTACGACCAATCTTTTGCGGCCCATGAAAACTGCGGTTCTTTGTAATCACTCGCAATATTTTAACTTGCTCAAATTCCCATCGCGATCTCCACATCGCCCATTTGATAGCCTTCAATTTGAATGACATTTTTTTTTTGCGACACCTTTTAAAAAATTATCTGATTTGAACAGAGGAGAGGTTGAAATTAGTGTACATGCAGCCGTTATTGACACTGAGAGTATTTAATTTTGGCGAAGAAAAAACGGCTCTCTTTGTTTGATTTCTGAACATTTTGATCAAAGGAAGTTCCCCGTCAAAACAATTTGAAACGAGACGTTGTTACCTTGTCATTTTATCGAGACGCTTAGGGTCAAAATAGTGCCTAAAGTGACAGGTTTGATATCAAGGAATCGATACTCTTGTTTCGTCTACCATTTGGTGTTTTTTCATCGGATTCTTAGGAGAATAGCAGATTCTTTTGATCGTGGAAAGGACAAGGGTTGTAAACTTTGTGTTCGCCGGAGGCAAAAGTTTCAAGCGGCAACGAAAGAGAGCTCGAGATCAATTTTAAAGCCATTTTGGTGACGTCAATTTATTTTGTTTAGCTTTTAGCTGAGTTACAGAACCCGGTATGAACGCGAGAAAACGATGATTACCTTAAATGCGTTTTTATCTCTTAAAGGAAATATTGACGAATTGTGTTTTTTAGAGAAAACGTCCAGTAGCTAGACTTTGTTTACCAAAGCCAGTTGCATAAACATTTCAAAATATTTCCTTGGCCGAGTGTTAATATCAGATGACAAAAGTTATATTCTAATATCATTTCCGCTGTTTTGATTTCTGTGTTTTGATTTGCTTTGCAAAGACACATAACATTTGGAACAATAAACATTCTTGTGTGTATACATCATGCTGTTGGAAAGGTATAATTTTTCAAATGTTTGTTATTTCGTTTCTGTTTCAGGGAGGATATTTTTATTTCTTGGAGCATGTAGCAGGTATGTGGAGTCGTAAGAACTAAGTTCAATTCTGTTTTCTACATTGAGGCTTAGCTCATTCTTGCCGAATTCGGGGAGGTTTTACTGAGCGAAGAGCCTTGTAAGAGATTTGCGTGATTTTGCGCTTTCGCGATTGTTCTGCTTGTTTGCTTTGTTTTGTTTATTTTAATCGTTCCTGATGAAATCGCGCGTAGCAATTAACAATGGGAGTGTTCTTAGGCCTAGCCTGATGACAATGCTTTAGTAAGCTTGCCTTTTAGAGTAAATTTTCGACCACAAGAGGTTGCTTACGGAAGTTGACGTTGAACTTAAATGAAATTTGCCTTATCAGCTGCCAAAAATAGCAGCTGATACTTCTGGCATTGTTTCAACAATTACACAAATACGTTCCTGTTTGATCGGAGGTCGAACATGACGTGGGGTCGATTTACGCCAAATATAATCCTTTTTCCTTTTTCTGTTCCAGACACGTTTTCGACTTTGCTCAGATTTGCGGTAAAAACCTTTTGTGGCTGTCATACAAAAAAAAATCAACCTCGTGCGTATCGATTGCTACGTCCGGCCCCGGTCTGGCCGTGGTCGCGAAATCATAAACCCAAAGCCGAAGAATAAAAATTTAGGCCGGCGACCGGATCACGAGACTCGTGCGAAACATGGCCAAGTCTCCGCCAGTGATCGCTCTCTGTTTCGAAGGACTTGAAAGCACTGCTTGACTTCCTTTCGGCTGTTAACGAGGCTTTTAGTGGTTTTCCTGCCACTTGAGGGTTTTAAACACGGCATATTGATGAAAGACAATGAGTAGACGAGTACATTGTAGTTTCTTCATTCACGTAAGTCGCTGCGATGGAGCCCTTCCTTCCCTTCTTCCGCGTATTTGAAACTCTTCCTGCGCACAAGAAATTCCAGGAGTTGTTCAAGTTTCTTTTGTTCTAATTTCCTGAAGCTTTAGAAAATTATTCTCTTAATTAAGGGAAGCCTCTCCTCTTTCTTAGCCGGTCGCTCGAAGCTTCAGCAGGCCGTGGAGAAAATCTATCAAACATGCTCATATTGCTTTGTTTTTGCGCATTAGATGAACCAGAAACATGGAGGAACTCCTTCCAACGAAGATTTGACAACCAGTGGAAATATCTCGGCGACGGATGCTCTTGCAGCAGAGAAACGTGGACCCACCTGGACAATGCCAGCTTCAGTACTGTGTCTTACAGAAAATTTGACCTGAAAGAACTTACTGTGCTTTGTTACTTGATTCGACCTCATTTAGCTGGGCATGCTATAAAATGAGGTAGCATACATAATGGACGTCGCCCCACGCAAAGTTGGGCGAGAAACGTTCGACCCTTCACAAGACAAACCTTTTTACATTCACACCAGAGAGGGGTTTATATTGGTTCACTATCAAGTATAGCCTTTTTACTCCTAGGGAGCGGATCCCAAACAGTTATTGATACAAGGTGGGGAGATGGGGAAGGTGGCGGGACGGTGATCGTGTTTTGATAGTAAATTACTCCAAGTGCAAAGTACTCACAGTTTTTCTTTTCTCACACAATTCGGCCATCATTAGTGCTTTTTCTCGGAGCCTTTTTTGTATTAAGGATGACAAAAGAGTCTAAGAATTCCTCTTATGAACCGCCAGTAATATTATGTTTCCTTACCGTGTTTCATTGAAAATCACCCCCTTCC